TGGAAAAGATGAAATTTTCAAGCTCCATTGAGTCAAACCCCCCCCCAAATATATGTATTTAAGACCTGAGTGATTTCTAGCTCAATATAAATGTGACTATACATGTTATATAGCTGATTTTTTTGTTTTTTAAGCGAAATACGAGAATATCCAAGTATTGTTCCCTTCATAGAAGTTCCCTTAAGAGGATTAAACACTTCTTTGCTGTGGTTCTCATTAAAAATATTTTTATAGCACCTTTTTTGGAACTATATTCCCGCTTCAAGGTGTTTTTAATATTTGGAAACAGTATAAGCCATTTGGAATCATGATGGGTGGTCAAGTTGGATTTTGGCTAAAATACCAAGAGTACAGCATTCTCGGTGACACGTAAATTAGCTTTCAGCTGGTTCCCAAACTGCTTTTAACGATGATAGCGCTCCTGGCATAAGCCTTCCAAGATCCTGTAAGGACAGTATTTAATTTGGATACTTAAGGTATGGTTGGTGGTGGTTTGTGTTTTATTATACAATCATTACTTTATAGTCACATATTGTACATATTAAAATAGCTAAGTTGTATTCAGACTTGTAAATATAACTATTTCAAGTAGTTAATCTTAAAAAAAAAGAAGTCATTTATTTGCATGTTCTTTCTAAGCTTCATCCATGCTGGTTATTGCACTGAACAATATATTATTATGGCATGTTAACAGTATACCAGTAACGGCACTTTATCTCATTTATATGAACACCTTTGAGGTGCTACTTAAGTCCAAACTGATGTATTATTCATTTGTAAAGATAAGGTACAGGAATGAACCTTGGTTTAAAGGTATTTTTATATGAAAATGGTGTGCTATTGGAGGATGTTAAAATGCTAGTTTGAGAGAGGTGGGAGCGTATTTGTTTTATATGTTGGGATGTGAAATTTATTTTCTAGAGTTGGGGAGAAGGAAGTTCTATATTTACAGAATGTTTTAAAAATGAATAGTTGTAATGAAGTTCCTGTGAGCATCATTATGGTTTTGTACAAATAGGAATCTTCTGGTGTCCTTCTTCAACATTTGTTCCTGAGTGTGTACAGTGTACTTTGTACAGCTTTATCATTTTTTTACAGGCTTTTCGTGAGTTCTGCTATAACTACTATGGCTTATTTATTGTTTATTGTTTTCTTTAATGTTTGTGAAAGTCTTACTCTTTTGTTATGTAGTTTTGTTTCTGCACAACTACTGTACTTTTCCGTATGGAATAAAGACTCTTAATAGAATTTCTTTTGCATTAAATGAAACAATGGATAAGTGGAGAATATCCTGATGACAACTGTCTGCCTTAAATCCTGGGTGATATTGTTACCCTAAAGAAAATAGTGAAAGGCCTATTTTTAAACTACCAAATGCATATTTAATTTCATTTAATAATAATTTCAGAACCAGGGTGACAGCTTTTAGAAATCCCAAAATATTCAAGGGTCAAAATTAGTCTTTTTGCCTGAAATAGGGAGAATATATGAAGATGAGCATGTTATACTGACCTGTTCCAGAAATCTTGGTGTCTGTTTTTACTGGCAACAGGGTATCTTTAGTACTATAACTCTCAGACACTTTGGCAATACACTGAACACTGTGTTAAGATGAAAGTTTGTTCTTCAGCACATTTGCATTGTCAGTTAAAAGTGTGTATTTGGGGGCCGGCCCAGTGGCGCAAGTGGTTAAGTGCACGCATTCCGCTGTGGCAGCCTGGGGTTTCTCGGTTCGGATCCTGGGCGCACACCGACGCACTGCTTGGCAAGCCATGCTGTGGCGGCGTCCCATATAAAGTAGAGGAAGATGGGCATGGCTGTTAGCCCAGGGCCAGTCTTCCTCACCACAAAAAAAATGCAGGACTGGCAGATATTAGCTCAGGGCGGATCGTCCTCACAAAAAAGAAAAAAAGTGTATTTGTCTCTATACCCACATATTTCAGTTTCAAAGTAGTATGAATGGGAGTGAACATAAAACTGTTGTAGTGATAAAATTCTGACTCGGAATCTTAAGCTTAAGTATTCTCTAATACTACTTCAGGTTATTGTCTGGTTACTGCCGTATTACTTGCAAGGCTAAGTCAAGTATTTTCAGTCCTTCTTTAAAGCTGTATATTTAAACTAAAGGTTAAAAACAAAAACCTGTGTAGGAGGGAAAAAGTGTTATTGGCTAATTTTTTTTTTAATGAGGAGGATCATCTCTGAGCTAACATCCATGCCAATCCTTTTTTTTTTTTTTTTTTGCTGAGGAAGACTGGCCCTGAGCTAACATCTATTGCCAATCCTCCTCCTTTTTTTTCCGCCCTTTTTCTCCCCAAAGCCCCAGTAAGGTAGTTGTATGTCATAGTTGCACATCCTTCTAGTTGCTGTATGTGGGACGTGGCCTCAGCATGGCCAGACAAGCGGTGCGTCAGTGCGCGCCCGGGCTCCGAACCTGGGCTGCCAGTAGTGGAGCATGCGCACTTAACTACTAAGCCACGGGGCTGGCCTGAGATAATTTTTTTATAATTTTATTTATTTTTTCCCCCGAAGCCCCAGTAGATAGTTGTATGTCATAGCTGCACGTCCTTCTAGTTGCTGTAGGTGGGACACAGCCTCAGCATGGCTGGAGAAGCGGTGCGTCAGTGTGCGCCTGGGATCCGAAACTGGGCTGCCAGCAGTGGCGCGCATGCACTTAACCACTAAGCCATGGGGCCAGCCCCTGAGATAATTCTTATAGGATGACTTTTCCAGTAAAGCTGCCAGTGTGACTTCTTTTAGTAGAATTTATTATACATTACATAATGATTTTGATATAGTCTTAGTAAAGAAAGATAGATAAGGCATTTGGTCCAATTACCCCAGAAAGGAGTGACGTCTCTTTGGGAAGCCACTGGTCAGTCCCGAGGACTGGGCAGTGGGCAGGTGAGTGCTGCCCCTGCACAGTCCTGAATGAACGGTGGGGCCTGGAGAGTGTGCAGCAGAGGGATTGTGTGGGGTCCCTTCCTGCGGATGGTTTTGGATTTGATTTACTGGTTGTTTTAAATCCCGGAGGAAGATTGGCCCTGTGTTAACATCTGTTGCCAATCTTCCTCTTTTTTTCCCCTCCCCAAAGCCCCAGTATGTAGTTGTATGTCATAGTTGTAGAGTTGTTGTAGCTCTTCTTTTCTATATGGGACACCACCTCAGCATGGCTTGATGAGCAGTGAGTGAGTACGTCCACACCCAGGAACCAAACCAGCGAACCCAGGAACCAAACCAGCGAACCCTGGGCTGCTGAAATGGAACGTGTGAACGTCACTGCTACGCCACTGGGCAGGCCCCTGTTTTTTTGTTTGTGGGGAGGAGGAATTAGTTGTTTTGGCTTTGGTTTGTATACAAAAACAGAAGCACTCCACTTGGGTAAATTATTGGCATCTTAGTTTTCAGCCATTTTGTTTGTTTAACAAGAAGCTATATGGTGAAACAGAAAAATCACCACCTTCTTTAACACATTTAAAAAACAACCGATCTTTCTTTGGAATAAGGCTATTACTTTATCAATCAAAAGAAAAGATATTTGGTCCAATGGTGGGCTCTGTCAGTTAAAAAAAAAAAATCTTTTGTTAGAATAGAAAGAAAAACACCTTCTAGAACATCTTCCCAACCTTTTTTTTTGGTCCTCATAAGAATGTGAGTATATGTAATATGAAAAAAAAAATACTCTTCTAGAATCATAGATTGTGAATCCTAGCTATGATGTAAAGGAAATAGAATTCAATATTACATTAGGATGACAGAAATTTTACAACACAGCAATTTTAATAAATAAAAGGTATTTGGAGATTTCTGTGGTGGCTAGACTTTCCACCTTTCTGGAAACATAAAGCATATTGGCTGTAAGTTTATAAAATATAGGAAAAAACTAAATACATACTTACTTATATTGCTTTTCTCTTGAGTTTTCAAATTTTGAACAACTACAATGAGGGTTTTGGGGGTGAACACATAGTCTCAGTCTCTAGCTCTACCCTTATAGTTTAGTTCTAACATGCTTTCCCACTAATAGCTTCTATTCTGGTAAACAATTTGACAGGTATGTGAAGTCAATACAACCTCAACTTCCTGAGCTCGAAGGTTTCTTCTGAGAGAATGCTTATCACGGTGTTTAAAAATGTAGAGACACCCTGGCTTAGAATACTATGTGAGAACTTAAAGAATTCTTAATTCTAAAGGGGGGCTAGCTTGCCACTTGATCTCTCTCAGCAAAGTCAGTTTGATGTATTTGTGATAATTTATTCCATCATCTAACTTGTACCCAGGTTTGGACAATGGGAAAAAATCATTACACCTTGCAAATTTAGAATCCAACAAAATTGCTCATTAAACATGTCAAAGTGATTTTCTCAATTTAGTCATAAACAAATCTACAATTATTTTGCTACAAATTCTCTTTAGAAGGATTCCAAAGAGTTATCAAATGAATGGCTAATGCCTAGGATTTAAATATCTGTTATATTCTAGATTCTTCTTCTCTTTGGTTGTAATGGGATATGACCTATAGCTAACAAGAATAAATTTGAGCATTGCAATTTAAAGTCAAAGTAAAACTTTATTTCTCTACAGGTTAAGATTTTTTTTCACTAGTACAAAAAGGCTTTTATAATAAAAATAGAAAAGAAGTTGGATGTGTTGTTTAGTCCATGTTTTAAAGAATGAAAATAGTAAATTGTTACAGGTAACTAAATTTAAGAAGTTTACTTTTCTCCTTGTTTTGCTTTTAATGTCTGATTAGTATTTACCTTTAAATCATTCAAATGAGATCACTGAAAAATATAAATAATATAAACAATTTTATTTTTATTTATTTTGCTGAGGAAGATTCGCCCTGAGCTAACACCTGTGCCAATCTTCTTCTTTTGTGTATGGGTCACCACCACAGCATGGCCACCACCGAGTTGTGGTCCATGCCCAGGAACCGAACCTAGGCTGCCGAAGCAGAGCACACCGAACTTAACCCCTAGGCCATGGGGCAAGCCCTGAAACAATTTTATTTTTGATGTGTCTCTAGCCACCGATTGATGGCCATTTTCAGAGTCCTATTCGGTATAAGTACCACTGAAGGAAGAATAAGATTTGTCATGGGACTTGTACGTTTCTTTTTGCTGATCCAATTCTCCATTGCTTCCTTTTCATATGAATAGCCATCTAAAAAAGAACACACAAATTATTTGCAATGTAGGAGAGGGAAGTTAGGATTACTAAAATGAGTTGGGTATAAAAACTCCATTGCCAAGGCCTGTATTGTGATTTAAGTGATATTCTTGTCTTGTGCCACTGTTCCCAAAATACTTCTGCCACAATACCCTAAATTCTGCTATTCAGGATACGTTAAGATTGAATAAATCACCTTGAACAGTCTCAATATTTTACTGATTGTTTTTGAACACTACCACTGAAAAAAGCACCCTGTCAAGAATTCAGATGTAGCAGAAAGGAAAAGGCAGAGCAGAGTGGTAGTGAAGATAAAGTGCTCCATTAGAGCTGTTAGCTGTGTGTGTAAATTAACGTGGCTGAAGGTGAGAGAAAAGAGCCTTAGGAATAACTCAGCAAAACTTTTCGACACATTGAAAAGTGAGGGAAACAGATACAGAGGTTCTAGAACTCGCCCCACTAAGCACTTGATAGTAAATGGATTTATGATGCAAAAAAAAAAAAGATCCACTGGCTAAGGTTTTTAATTACCATGTTCTTACAAAATTCTTTGCCTTTGCACATGTCAAGATTGGAGTTTTTGCTTCACTACTTTCTTGTTTATACTTGTAGCTCTTAAACTGAAAATCTTAGTTCCTAATTACATTTACACATTAACCTATTTGCTTTAATCTACAATGCATACAACTGTTTCAAACTAACTATGCCAACATAGTAGCAACTAACGTAAGGCTGTGAAAGAAATTTAAGATTTCTTTCTGGCTCTGTCACCAAGACAGATCCACTAGGGTTGTCTAATTGAAATACTGTGTTTGAAAATCACTTGAAAAAAAATTCTTCTGTTTGATTATGTTACCAACTTTGACATACAATTTGGTCCATTTGCTTCCCTTTTTATCCTCCCAATTTTTAGAGCTTGGTTTGTTTTTCAAGATTTATTTTAACTCTGTAAAACATTTAAGTGATTTTGAAGTAACAACTATAAAACAAGGTACTTTCAGAGGAGTCTATTCTATCTCTGTCCAACCCATATTCCCTCCCTTCCCATATAGGTAACTATGTTAATACAAGCAAATGTATGCGTACACACTCAGTACATATACTCGCTTACATAAAAGCTAGCATGCTGTATACACTATTTTGTACCTGATTTGTTTTTTTACTTAACTATACCTTGCTTTTTCATATCCCCCCACAGTACTCCACTGTATGGATGGATCTGGGTTGTTTCTGATCTTTGCCTTTTACAAATAGTGCTGCAATGAACAGTCTTATCATTTTGGGGGAGATTCCAGAAGTAGGATTGCTGCATCAAAGAGTAAATGTATATAATTGTGCTACATATGCCAATAGTTCCATAGGATTTCTACCATTTTTTTACTCCTACTAGAAATGTTGATGAGTGCCTTTTTCCCCAGAGCCTTACTAAGAGAATATGTTGTCAAACTGGATTTTTACCAGTCTCTCATGAACAATGGTATAGAATATCAGGTAGTTTTAATTTATTTTATTATGAGGGAGATAGCTCTTAAAAATGAAAAAATGTTCTATTTGCTTTTCTTTTTCCTATGAACTGATTGTTAATATTTTTGGCCCATTTTTCTTTTAGGTTGCACTTAATTTAGGAAGATTTTTTTAAATTAATATATAACTGACAGTTATTAGTTTCAGGTACACACCATAATGATTTATATATATATTGCAAAATGATCACCACAATAGGTCTAGTAAACACCCATCACCAGCTACAGATTTTTCCTTTTTTCTTGTGGTGAGAAACTTAAGATTACTCTCTTAGCAACTTTCTAATGTACCATACAGTATTATTAACTATAGTCACCATGCTGTAAATTGCATCCCCAGGACTTACTAATTTTATAACTAGAAGTTTCTACTTTTTGACCACCTTCACCCATTTCGCCCACTCCCACCCCCTGCCTCTGGCAACCACCAATCTGTATGAGTTTGGTGTTTTGTTTTAGATTCCACATATAAGTGAGATCATATGTATTTGTCTCTTTCTGCATTTTACTTAGCAAAATGCCCTTAAGGTCCATCCATGATGTCATAAATGACAGAATTTCCTTCTTTTTTATGGCTGAATAATATTCCATTGTATATACATACATTTTCTTTATCCATTCACCTCTGGATGGACACTTAAGTTGTTTACGTGTCTTGGCTATTGTGAATAATGCAGCAATGAACATAGGAGCACAGGTATCTTTTCAAGTTAGTAATTTTGCTTCCTTCAAATAAATACCAGAATTAATTCCCTTGAATTAATTCCAGAAGTGGAATTAATCACTGGCTCATACAGTAGTTCTAATTTTTTTAGGAACCTCCATACTGTTTTCCATAGTGGTTGCACCAATTTACATTCCCACCAAAAGTGCTCAAGGGTTCCCTACTCTCCACATCCTCACTACTCTCCACATCCTCGTCAATATTTGTTATCTCATCTTTTAGATAACAGCCATTCTAACAGGGATGAGATGATATCTCATTGTGGTTTTGACTTGCATTTCCCTGATGATTAGTGATGCTGAGCATCTTCACCTACCTGTTGGCCATCTGTATGTTTTCTTTGGAAAAATGTCTATTCCATTCCTCTGCCCATTTTTTAATTGAATTGTTTGGTTTTTTTCTATTGAGATGTATGAGTTCTTTATATATTTTGGATGTCCTTATCAGATACATGATTTGCAAATGTTTTCTCTCATTCAATAGGTTGCCTTTTCATTTTGTTTCCTTTGCTGTGCAGAAGCTTTTTAGTTTGATGTAGTCCTACTTATTTTTGCTTTTGTTGCCTTTGCTTTTGGTGTCACATCCAAAAAATCATTGCCAAGATCAATGTCAAGGAGCTTACCACTTATGTTTTCTTCTAGGGGCTTTACAGTTTCAGGTCTTACATACAAGTCTTTAATCCATTTTTAGTTGATTTTTGTGTATGGTGCAAGTTAGTGGTCCAGTTTTCCCAACATCATTTATTGAAGAGAATTTCCTTTCCCAGTGTATGTTCCTGGTTCCTCTGTTGTAAATTAATTGATCATATATATATGTGGGGTTTATTTCTGGGCTCTTGATTCTTTTCCATTGGTGTCTGTTTTTATGCCAATATCATACTGTTTTCAATACTATAGCTTTGTAATATACTTTGAAATTGCTGTAGTTTGAAACCCCCAGCTTTGTTGTTCTTTCTCAAGATTGCTTTGGCTATTCGGGGTCTTCTGTGGTTTCATACACATTTTAGGATTGTTTGTTCTATTTCTGTGGAAAATGCCATTGGAATTTTGATAGGGATTGCACTGAATCCATAGATGGCTTTGGGTAGTATGGACATTTTAACAATATTAATTCTTATCCATGAGCACAGAATATCTTTCCATTTATTTGTGTTGTCTTCAATTTCTTTCATCAATCTCTTATAACAGGTCTTTCACCTCCTTGGCTAAATTTATTCCTAGATATTTTATTCTTTTTGCTGCAATGGTAAATGAGATTGGTTTCTTCTCTTTCTGATAGCTTGTTAACTATCAGAAATGCAACTGATTTTTGTATATTAATTGTGTATCCTGCAACTTAACTGAATTAATTATTTCTAACAGTTCTTTAGTGGAGTCTAGGGTTTTCTATATATAATATGTCATCTGCAAATAAAGACAGTTTTACTTTTTCCTTTCCAATTTGGATGCCTTTTCTTTCTTTTTCTTGAGTAAGTGCTCTGGCTAGGACTTCCAATACTATGTTGAATAAAAGCAGCAAGAGTGAGCAGCCTTGTCTTGTTCCTGATCTTCAAGTTTCAGCTTTTTGTCAGAGTATGATATTAGTAGTGGGCTTGTCATATATGGTCTTCCTTATTTTGAGGTATGTTCTCTCTATACCCACTTTGTGAGTTTTTATCATGTTTAATTTTGTCATATGCTTTTTCTACATCTATTGAGATGATATGATTTTTATCCTTCATTTTGTTAATGTAGTGCATCACATCGATTTACTGATGTTGAACCATCCTTGCATCCGTGGAATGAACTCCACTTGATCATGGTGTATGATCCTTTTAACGTACTGAATTTGGTTTGCTAATATTTTGAGGATTTTTACATCTACGTTCATCAGGGATATTGGCCTGTAATTTTCTTTTCTTGTAGTGTCCTTGTCTGGTTTTGTTATCAGGGTAACGCTGGCCTTGTAATATGAGTTTGGAAGAGTTTGAGGATTGATATGAATTCTCTAAATATTTGATTTCTTAATATCTGGAATATTAGCACTGCATCAATTTTTCACTTCTTTTGGACTTTGAGTCCATGTTGAGAAGTGTCCCTATTTCTAGCTTATCAAAGAAATTACCTACATTTTCTTCTGGGTTTCATTTTTTTATGTTGATATCTCTGATCCATTTGAAATTAGTTTTTAGATGTGCAGTATAAGAGATGAAGCCAGTTTTACCCTTTTCCCTATGGCTATTTAGTTGTCAGAATACCATTTGTTGAAAATACTTATTTTTCCCACTGATTTAAAATGCCATTTTTAGTCACTAAATTTCCAGATGTACTTGGATCAATTTCTGGATTTTTAAAAATTATTTTCCATTGGTCTATCTATTCATGTGCCGTCCCCACACTGTGTTATTGATAGAGGCTTTATAACATGTTCTAATATCTGGTAGGGCTATTGACAGTCTTTTTTTTAATTTAATAGGTTATTTGTTGTGTGTTCTTTCCAATGGAACCGAATAATCACCTTCTGTATCTCCAGGAAAAAACCTACTAGTGACATCTTGCTGAGTCTTCCTATCAGCATGCTATGCTTTCCATTTGTTCCAAGTATACTTCACAAGGATGTTTTATAGTTTTCTTCCTGTCAATTTGCAAAATTTTGCATATTTTTTATGTCTGGGGTTTTTTGTTATTGTAAATTAAATCTTCCATTATACCTTTTAACTGCTTTCTATTTACACAGACATATGAAGGCTCTTGATTCCTTTTTTTTTT